ACAAATACCAACAACAACAAAAAAGCTCTTGGAAATTAAATATATAATAAGAAAAATGAGAACTCAATAGAAAGAGAGCAAGACAGAAAATTTGAAAACCAGTCAAGAAGGCCCACTGAATAAGTTTAAGAAAATGGAAGAAAGAAAAATGGAAAGTAATCAACAAATCTCATCAAGAAAAAGTCCCAGAACTAAAAGATGTTTCCATACTGAAAAAACACGTATCAAATACTCAGCAGCACCACACAAATGAACATAGACCCATGAAAGACCCACATGGTAAAATTTCTGAACAGAAACAAAGTCTTAAGAGTTTTCACAAATTTATTAAATGAGGATAGAGGGGAAAAAAATGGAAAAAGGAAAACACACAGGTCACATACAATAGATGAGAAATAAAAATGGCTTTAGGTTTCTCAAAAGCAGTTTGGATGTTAGAAAGCAACAGTACAAAACTATAAGATACTTTTCCCACCTAGTATTCTTTACCTAACCAATGAACTAAACAAGTGTCAAAGTATACAGAAGCCATTTTAAAACATCAAGTAAATCAAGAATAAAGACAACACTGGTCACTGGAGAACAGCAATCAAACACAGGAGAAAGTGAAGGGAATCCTACAATACTTGTATACCAAGCCTAGGAAGCAATCAGTCCAGAATGGAGGTTATGAGAAAGACTTCCTCAGGAAGATGAAACTGGTAACAATACCTGATGTTGACATTAAGACATCTAATAAAATGTAGAATTAGTGATAAATATAGAGAAAAACTAAATGGGGGGGGGGAGGCAGTTGCCTCCAGCCACTTCACTGCAGTTTACAAGCAGCATGGAAAATTTCTCATCACCTCTCTAGTCCTCTTACACTTAAGCACTTGCACACACCAAGAATTACCAGATGTTTGAGGAAGCAAAGTAGAGCCCAAATCATACAAAAGTGGAGGAGTGGGGCAACTTGGAGAAAACAGATTATACTGATAAATATAAACTCAGGAGGGGAGAACTCCCTAACATTTCCACATTCTACATACGTGGGGATAGGGTAGGAAGAGGGAAGCAACCACAGGACATTTTCTGGATAAGAAAAGTAGTCATCTTTTACAAGAATATTGAATAATCAAGAGTGATATAATATTGGAAGGAAGCAGCATTTATAAGAAGAATTACCAACTGGGCATATCTTCATTTTCTATCCAAGAAGTAAGAAAGTCAAAAGCAAAGCAAGGAGTATTTAATTTAACAAACACTCATTTAGGTCACTGAAAGTCAAAAAATTCTAAGGGTTTTCCAAATTCATTTAATTCTTATAACAACTCTGAGACATACTACTTTACAAAATGAGAAAACTGAGGCACACAGAGTTTAAGAGACCCAAAGTTATATAAAACTAGTCAATGACAGGGGAAGGATCAAACCTAGAAGGTCTAATTCTGGAGTCTCCATGCTCCTAACCATGCTCCTAAACAAGCACAAGCATAGAGAGTAGGAGGTAATCTAAAAGAGGTAAAAGTGCTTCTAGGAAAGGAAATTGGGGAAGTAAGCGAGCAGAAGCTCTTTCATTTATTTATTTTGGATAACCACGTAAACTATTTGTTTCAACTGCACATATATATCTTTTAAAAAAAACTTTAAACAAAGGGTTTTAACTGATGCTATGTAAGCAAAATACATATTTTAGGTAAGAAAAGATTCATTCCTTTTTAATAAATATTTAAAGACCTACTATAAATTGAGTACTGTATTTAGAAAATATACATCAATTCACCTCAAGGAACAATGAAAAAGTTAGGGAGTCATTTTATTTATTTTAATCCATTCTGCATAAATTATTATGCACCTACATCTCTAACAGTGTGCTTAAGATGACAATATAAACTTTATATCACGATTGGAAAAGCAGAGAAAGGTCTGCTCATTAATTTGTTCAAGAAATATTTAGTACCTGCCCTTAAGGAACTACTCTTATGGGAAAGACTGGTAAACAATTATAATCGAATGTATACAGGGCTTAAATAGAGGAACATTAAAAAGTGCTAAGGAAACAACATCTCCTGGGGAAAGAATCCTTCAGAGAAAATAGATCTGAGCTGAATCTTGAAGGGTGAACCAATGAATCTTGAAGGGTGAATCTTGAAGGGTGAATTTGACCAATTTCACATAAGAGGCTATATAACAAATCACAAAACACTATATATCAGAGCGAAATAACTACATTTTCCCATTCTTGTAAAGAGAATGGTTCACATTAAAAGCTAAGAGAGGTCAAGATCTTTGCAATGAGAGTGACTTTTTGAAGATCAGGCATTCCTACAAGCGTGTAATCCCAGTGACTTGGGGAGTCTGAGGCAGGAGGATCCCAAGTCTGAGGCCAGCCTCAACAACTTAGTGAGATCCTGTCTCAAAATAAAAAATAAAAAGGGACAGGGATATAGTTCAGTGGTAGAATGACCCTGCATTCAATCCCCAGTACAAAAAAAAAAAAAGAAAGATGTTTTGAAAGAAAGATACATAATCTTAATGCCTTGATTGATTTTTCTAAAATCTTACAGTAGCCAACTAAAAACACTTTCCACATGTCTACTGAACATTTTAACATCTAAATGTTAGGATATTATTACAAAAGATGATTAGAGAATAACCACTCTCATTTGTTCTACTACCAAAAATTTATAATTAGCATTATAATACTAAAATGATAATGTACCCTTTTTCCCATGACTGACTAAAGGTGACAAAGCTAAAACACGCAAGTGACACAAATCCTCTTCCCAGGACAATTTTAAATAAAATAACACATGTTTTTCCAAACTATAGCAATAAAAAAATTATCTGGAATGACATAATAAAAAAGGCATATGCATACACATGCATACACACACACACACACACACACACACACACACACACACTTTTATAAAATCCTGTCTGACCTTATAGGTTTTTAAAGGTGAAACACTGATTTTATAGAATTTGAAGGATATCTTTGAAACAAGTTTTCCAGTTTTGATGACTCAACTTAGATAAACTAACAAAAGTTCAAATACATAGTAAATTCAAAATGAGTACATTCTGAAAACAACTTGTTACTTTAGGCCAATATTTCATCACATTTCTTCTTGTCTCTTTCTACTATTCCAAACTTTTTTACATAATATGTCCCTAATTAATCTATATCTCAGTTAACATCTAGCAAATAATTTTGTGCTCATATTTTAAACCAGGACTGTATCCCCAGAGGGGGGGAAAAACTAGTTTAAAGCAGCATCCTTTGACTTGTTGTGGAACATCAGGTTTTGGAAATCCCTATTATTGCCCTATGAACAATAGGGAAAGACAAGAAAGTCAAGGCAGGAGATCACAAAGGGGAATTAACAAAATTATAGCAGGTTTGAAATCATAATGTGTGGTTGTCTTTCATTTCTCTAAATTTAGCATGTATACAAAATACCTGTTTCTATAGGAGCTTCGCCTAGATCACGTCCTTTTTATCTATAGAACATTAATAATTGGGGTAAATCTTTAAATTAAAATTATGATGAGAATCAGAATGATAAAGATAAAACTGAAGATTAAACAATAACTATAAGAGAACTATTAAGGAAATACCTATCTTTTAAAGTACAAAGATGCAGAATACATTTGGTTAATAACAAGATTTTAATTATATGACTATTAGAAGAAAAAATCTTAAAAGATAAGATTTTTAATTTGTTTCAATTAACCATATCTTTACAACTTTTTTAAACAACTAAAAAAAGAAAACCTCAAACATTGGGCCTTTTTTTCTTTTTCTTAAGTTAATTGCTTGACTGTCCCAAAGTGAACCCCACAAATAAATGTATAGAAATATAAATGCTTCAACTGGTTTGATGGAATTGCAATCTCAAAACCCTCCAACTAATACTAAAATAATTAAATATCTTGCATGCTTACTCAAAATTCCAGTGAAAATAAATAGTCTTTTCATAACTCTTATGATATTTGGATCAAGGTTAGTCACAGACTGACATATTTGTGAAAAGAACATTCCTTTAAAAAAAAAAAACAAGTAGGTCTTAAAGCACTGTAGAAATATGAAAGACTTCATGAATATTCCAGCCAGTGAGCTTCAGATAAAATTTTATTACGTGTTACTAGCACGTTATTTCTAATCTAATCAAAAAATGCTGGTTTAATAATGTATTTTAGGTTTTGTGCATTTTAATTTTTGGTAATGGAACAGGTGGATATTAGTAGAACATCTTATTTTCATGTCTGTATAAATTCAATCCTGCAAGACTTATTCTTTAAAATGGCTACCACCTTGATCTACTTGCAAAAGGAAAAATGTACAGCATACTATCATAAAAGATAAATTGAGTTATTTTGAGAGTATATGCCTTCCTCCTCCAAAAAAAAACACTTAAGATTCCCATTACTTTTCTGTTCTGATAAAGTGACCATTAAGTTTACAAAAGCTGGTCAATTACAGTATGTGGGCAATCTATATAACCCAGATTAGGTCATCTTTCCTACAGTGTCTGACTAGGAAAAGCAGGTAACAGTATCTTTCACAGTCTAAGATCCACACTGTGGAACTGAAAAAGGGTTGCCTAGTAAGGGAGAACAAATGTGGTAACACCAAAGAGATGATCACAAGGATTTTAGTGACTCAAAAGAATAATTATGTGGGTTAACAAAATTTAGCCTTTTTTTTCATAATTAATCTTCTAAAAAGCATTTTATAAATAATAAAAACCACTTGGTGCCCCAAAATCTATTTTTAATGTGAATACATGCTCAACCTAACTATTCTGACGAATTTTATTTATATATTACTATTTCCTATCCACTCTGAAATCATTCCATAACACTCCTGCTCTATAAAACTTACCATGAGTATGCATTTTCACCCAAACTGAAAACAATATAACACCTTACATTAATTTTATGCATACATATTTCTACCAAATAGATTAATTTCGAGTTTGTTGAACATCTGCAGAAATATGGCATCTTACCTCTCATCCTCGCCATCCACCAGGGGTGTCGTCAGCGGTAGCACCTTCAACGGGAAAAGAGAAGCAGAGGCTGCTAGGCTGCTGCTACTCCCATCTGAAACTGCTGACACTCCCCCACTGTCACCACTGATAGTCTGAGGTAAGCCAACTAAGGAGGGCTCCGCTGTGCGCCTGGCATCTTCGATTTGGCTTCCAATTGCCTGAGCTAATGATTGTGTAGAGAACTGAGTAGAACTTAGTGGTATCTGTGGTGCCAAAGGCAAATTTATATTAGTTGCTATCAAGGGAGGTTGACTAACACTTTGAACCAAATTACCATTTTGGGTAGCAGGGGCTTGTGCTATATTCTGTGATGGAACCAAGTTTGTTGGGGCAGAAGGCATTCCAGAAAGACCAGTTGAACTAACCTGATTTGTAACAGAAATACTACTAGCAGAGGGCAAAGGACCAACTGCGGGCAACTGCTGTGAAACCACTCCTTGAGCTATTGGTTCTACTCCTTGTGGCTGAGGAGGCACAGTTAACAAGGTACTCTGGGGTGCAATAACCAATTGTTGAGGAAGGCTTGAAGCACTAGTTTGAACTCCCTGATGAATAATCCCAGTTTGAGCAGGTGGAACTACTTGTGAAGATGGAGGAGCACCTTGCTGAATAACTGAAGGTGTAACCTGGGTAGAGGGCTGCTGCACTGCAGTAGGTATGTTTGCCTGTTGACCAATATTTGCAATTTGAGTGCCAGTAGGTACAGCAGACACTGCTGTTTGAGCCTGGCCAACAGGCTGGCCAGATGCCCCTGCAGGTTGTGCTTGGACTGCTGTGGACTGGACTGGCAGTTGGATACCCTGGGGCTGAGCCACAGGAATCACTGCTGCTCCTGTTCCCACTCCTGCAGAACTGGACTGCCCAGAGGACATTGCTGTTTGAAGAACTGGCTGCTGCTGTACATATTCTGGAGTAGGATTTTGAGTCACTGATTGAACATGGCCTGGGGCCATTTGTGTAGAAACCATTGGTTGTTGTTGTCCATACTGTAACTGTTGGGGTGGTGCCCCTGGAAGGGGAGTTTGCACTGGAGGAGCCGTCTGAGAATATGGCAGTTGGGGTTGAGCCAAACTGGAAATGGAAGGCTGCTGACCTAAAGCTGAAGTTACACCAACCACATTTACAGATGATGGCTGGATACCAGTTGCAGCATTGATAGTGGCTTGCAGAGGTACTGGTTGAAGACCCTGCTTTTGTTGATAGCTCAGTTCTTGAGACTGTAACTGTACTTGTGACATCTGTGACTGAGAAATACTCTGTGGTATACTGACTGCTGAAATACTCTGTGGACCAGTGCTACTGAAATCCATCTGTTGGAGGGCCACACCTTGAAGAGCTGGTTGTGGTGGTGGTGGTGGTGGTTGTTGTTGTTGTTGTTGCTGCTGCTGCACCACCACCACAGCAGGGGCTCCCATCTCTCCACTGCCCACACTCTCTGTATAGTGACTCAGTGTGCTGACACTACTGCTCACTGAACTCCCACTAGTGCTCTCCCTCTCAGAAGTCACTTCTGTCGGGTTTTGTTTTACAGTCTCCACCACTTTATTTACCACCACACCTTCTGTAGCAGGTACAGCATTTTCTTTTTCATAGAATTCAGTGCAAGTCCATCTACCTTTTTTAAAAGGCTCAGAAGTAGAATCTAACTTCACAACTCTGAACCTTGATGTGTTAACTGTTGGTTGTTGCTGCTGCTGACTTGAAGCCAATCCCACAGTCATCCCTGCAGCTGCATTAGGAACACTGTTAACAACAGTGGAGGAAGAAACAGTACCATTGCCCATGCCACTCAAGATACTCACGTTAACACCACTGGAAACACCAGGCCCAACACTTACACTAGCAGCACTAGGAATACTGCTTGTACTTATATTAGCATTACCAAGCATGCTGCTTGTCACATTAGGATTGAAACTACTCACAGCAGCAATGTTAACATTACTCATTGTACTAGCGCCAGTAACAGAATTTATACCTATACCGCCTGTAGTACTTGGTGCACGGATATTAGTCATTACAGATGCAGGTGAGCCACTCGATGATACAGCAGAAGCTGGTGCAACTGGCATAACACCATCAGAGCTTCCAGTTGTAGAGAGTTTTCTGGACACTGGGCTTGAGGGTGGCCCTCCAGGAATGGATGCACTGGCCACAGCAGCATGGGATGGATGATGGTGCCCATGGTGAAGGTGGTGCCCATGATGAATATGATGGTGGTGATGAAGGTGGTGTGGATGAGCATTCCCATTGATCACAACATTCTGTTGTGGAAGGTGAGGCAAATGAGGCTGGGGAAGGTGGGGCTGGTTGGGAGAGACTGCCCCAGGTGTCTCAGCTTCCTGGAAGTTATTCAGAGTCTCTTCTGAGGAGCTGCGTTCTGGCTCCCCTAAGTCAGTAGCCCTGGAAAGTGACACATCAAGGATTTCGGAAGAAGAGAGATCTTCCGTGTGCGATTCATCCAGATCGTCATAGCTCTCAGTGTCCTCTGCTATACTGTTGTTAGAGCTGATACTGGCAGAGATCTGAGCTGGAGTAACGCTAGTTATCTGGAAGCCACTTTTCTTTTTCATCTGAGTTCCGCCTGGAGCAAGAGGCTGTGCCTGCAGCTGAGCCTGAGAAAGGAGGTTCAGGCTTTGTGGAGGCGGAGGCTGTGGTCCCGACGTGGAAGATGCTGCAGGAGGCGGCGGCTGGAGCAGCGACGGAGGCGGAAAATCCTCAGAAGTGGTGGCAGCACTACCAACGCTGGTACCTGCTGCATTGAGAGCAGAGGCGCTGCCACTACCGCTGCCCCTTCGAGGGAACATTGCCGGGTGCGCCATCTTCCTAGCATTAATGTCTGCAGCGGCGGCCGCCGCGGCGGTGGACTCAGGCGGCTGGTGCATTGTGTTGGGTACCGGGGGGCGGAGGAGGCGAGTGCAATTTCCTTCTGCACCGTAATCTTTGTATTCAAAACGCCGGAGAAGAAAACGGGACCTGACGCTCCTCCGGGCGCGATTCCTCCTTCTCCTCCTCCTCCGCAGCCGAAAGCGCCGGCCGCTCCTGCCTCCGAGGGCGAGCTTCGGGAAGGGAGGATGAACGAGGGTGAACAGGGCGGCCGGGGACCCGAAGGGGGGCCCCCTTCAGTCCTCCGCCATTCACTCTCCCCTCTAGTCTCACACCCCCCTTTATATTCCGCTTCACGTGGGTGCGGGGCAGGAGGGAGGGGGAGCCCGGGAGGGGAGGGGAGGGCGGGGGGAGAAAAGCGAGAAATGCCCACCTTCTTTGGCCAACTCCGAAGCCACCTCAGCCCCCTCCTCCCGCCGCGGCGGCGGCCGCTGCAAAGCCCTCCCGGTCACACTGCACGAAGGCAGAGCGGAGCGAGTGTCGCCTTGCTCTCGCCACCCCCGGCGCCGCTGCCGCCGGCGAGCCCCGAGCTCAGTGTCGCTCAAACCTCCCTCTC